GGATCACCCCCGCTGTCTGCCGGCTTTGCGCAAGCTATTCGAGGGATATGCTGGTGCAGCGGAGTATCGACCCATGGCATTTGTTCTGTGTGGTAACTTTTGCCAGAGGGGTTGGGAGGGTCAGGGCGGATTGAAGCGGTATACCAGTGAGTAGTTGTCGTTACAACAACTGATGAAGCCATTTAAAGACAGCTTCAACGCCTTGACCGACCTACTTCTTCAATTTCCACTCCTCTTGTCCTCTCACTTCATCTTTGTTCCAGGTCCGCTTGATCCTTGGTCAAGCTCTACCATCCCTCGACCAGCCTTGCCTCCTGCCATGACTGCGCGTCTCACCCAACGTATACCGAAAGCTCGATTCGTGTCTGATCCATGTCGGATACGATACTTTGGGCAAGAGATAGTCATATTCCGGGAAGATTTGATGGGGAGGATGATGCGTAATCTAGTCGGAGTCAAAGATGGCCAGTCAGATGAGGTAGACATGAAACGCTACGTGAGTTCCTGCTTGTGTGCTCTTGAGCAGTCGGTCACTTACCTATAATTTGGGATATAGCTTGTGCAGACTATACTCGATCAGTCGCATCTGTCACCATTATCACTATCGATTCGCCCGACATTATGGGAATACGATCATGCATTACGCCTATACCCTATGCCTACTGCTGTGGTGCTTGCGGACAAATATGAGCGATACGAACTTACCTACGAGGGATGCCATGTCCTCAATCCTGGGCGGTTTGTAGGTGGATCAGGCGGAGAAGGTGGCGAGTTTGAGTGGAGCATGTATTACCCTGCTACGGGGAGGAGTGAGAGGAGGTGAGTCCTTACCTAGGCAGCTGTCATATGCCGAGTGAGGGCACTGATAATGTACAGCGCTTTGACTCTGGATGACTAGCCGCCGTTGTACGCCGAGCAAGGCAGGGAGGGAGTCGCGAAGGCTTGAGGGGTTTCCCTACTTGCCTAGTAGGATTCTTGACAGGGTTTAGACATCTAGTAGGATCTGGATGACTAATAGGGTTTCAGACAACTAGTAGTCTTTCTAAACATCTCATTGTTGTATCTCATTGCATTGACATGATATGTACTCGTTCTCGTTGTCGTCCTTGTATACCTCTCTCTCTATATCAAGCCTTGAACTTCTGTGCGATCTCAGTCCAATCTTCCAACTTCCAATCCTTCACGATCCACCTTTCTCCAGACCAAGGCCAATCATTATTACCCCAATGACGGATCCCAGCAGCCATGATACCAGGGAACCCACCACCTTCAACAGTCTTATCGATCTCTTCTTTAGTGATCTCGATCAATTTCGGTTTCTCCCCATTCACTTTAGCGAGCACATCGACGATTTCAGCACCGGTAAATTCATGCGAGTAGAGGTAAAAGTCTTTCCCCTTGATCTCGGCTGGAGGAAGTAAGGCGATTTGAGCGGTGCCGGTTCCTATGTAGGCTTGAGAGGCTAGTTGAAGCGGGTTGGAAAGTGACGAGTTGTACACTTGGACAGTATTGTTCTTGATATCCGTTCCGGAGAAGCTAATTTCCCATTTGTGTCAGTTTTCGATTTTGAAAGAAAACAAGACGAAGACGAAGAAGATGAAGATGAAGAAGAAGAAGAAGAAGATGATGAAAGGCAAAAGGAAGAACCAGAACCAGAACCAGAACCAGAACAAGAACAAGAACAGGAACAAGAACAGGAACAAGAACAAGAACAAGAACAAGAACAAGAACAAGAACAAGAACAAGAACAAGAACAAGAACAAAACCAAGAAGGTGAAAGTAACGGTGAAGTTGAATCCAAACTTACTTGATACCAAAGAAGAAATCATGGAATAAACCACCTTTGATCTCTGTGAGTGCCAGTCCTGATTCCAGTGCCTTGGCCTTGATTTGCGCCTGCAGATATGGGATAGGTAACAGAGAGTTGGCACCATCTGATTTATCCCATGGAAAGCCGAATTCAGCCAACATGGTAGTTACCAGATCCGACGATTTGGCGAGAGCATCGATGAGCGGGTATTGCAGTGTTTGAGCGGGGATTCCAACAGCCGAGCTAAATGTAGATTAGCAAATCTCAACCCTTACTCAGACTGTGCCAGCTTTGATGATGAGAGCTGTGGAACGGGGACGGGAGGACCATGGGTTTAGGCGGGAAGCAACTCACATGAAGGTATGAATACCCTTGACCTGCTGCGCTAGCTTGTCGGCATCAGGGTTTTCGAGATCGATCTCTCGCTTCTCAATAGTGGAAGGTACATTCGAGACATCCGATGACGCTCGATGAAAGACGACAAGTTTGACCTTGCCCTCTTCGACGGCGGGTAAAAGCGTGCTGAAGATCGCCTTGCCGATACCTCCAGTGTGTCCAAGAAGACCAATTGTGTGTGACATTGTGCTGGATGATGTTCGATTAGGTTTTAGTAGTCTTGGAATGCAGCTAGATGTTGAGGAGTAAGAGTCTTGGTTATGTGATGGAGACAATAGACGATACGGTGATATGGACTGGCTTTTATACCTCGCCCAGGCAGTTGCTCTTGGTCAGCTTCGACAGTATGATGACTGATGCTGAACAATATGATTAGTGATGCTGAACAATCTAGCAACGATACACCCAAGTTGAATCAGCATGACCAGCCGCTATATGACGCCACCCCATCAGTAAGGGCCATTGAGAGACAAAGAGTTGCTCGTTTGAGTGCAGGAGCACAGAGACTCCTGACTCTGCTTACGAAGCCTATTCTGCCGCGCTGCGCTCACGCTAGATAATCAGCGGGAACGACGAACCACCTGAGCCAAACGGTAGCGCAGCGAAGACAAAGCTTGGACAAAAGCTCAGGATACAAGAGCGGAATCTCCGTCTCAATTGGATTTGACATGGAATCTCCGTATTGTCATCCGTCCCACGTGGCTTTATAGTGGGTCGCTTGATACAGACTACCCAACTGTTCTATCTATACGAGGCAGGTACCAACAATGGGCTGCGACACGATGTGCCATGATTAAGATATATCTGGCACCTATATCCAATATGATAGTTAGTCTATAGAAGAAAGTTGCATGCAAACATATCAATCGAAGAGTGTTGTTTGACTCCGTAGTCGCCCCTTTCTCATGACACGAGAACGGCGCATTTTGATCTGCGATGAACACAGCTATGGGGTCGATTTGATCTCCCGCCGCTCCGTTTCTTCCAGCATCCCCGCCGATAAGGAGGAGGGAAGAGCGCTGCGATCAGCGCATCGGCAGTAATGATCAAAATCCAACTCTCTGCCAACTCTTTCTAACTGCCCCCGGGTCGTATGGGAGAAAATCAGAAAATTGCGGAATGGAAAAGAATCAAAAACGCCGAAAGAAAGGGTTTAGTTGAAATGCCGACCGTGGCGAAATTTCGACATTGCGGCTCCCTCGAACTCGTTGCATTGTTCGTTGCTTAGAGCTTCTTCTCTTTCAGTCAAACTTGTGCGTCTCACTACCTCTATACTTATCGAATAACAGCTGATCAGGAGTTCTCCCTCTCTCACCCATCCAACTCTTACTCGATCTCTCGTCTACTCTCGCCGTTTCGATCCGTTCCTTTGCTCGGCTCTCACAGCAACATGGTCAGTCCCGTCTTTCAATCACCCTTGGTCTAAAATCATCTCGAGTGCGTTGTATACTGATACATCGTAGGCCGACTACACTACCGGAGAGGAGGCAGCTGCCAAGAAGGCATCCCGATCTTTCAAGAAGTACCAGTACCGTGGTGTTGAGCTCGACCAATTGCTCGACCTCAGCAACGAGGCTTTCATCGAGGTGGGTTTTTGATTGCTACATTTTGGTATTGGCAGCGAGAGGGGCAAGGTATTGGGACGAGCGGTATGCCAACGTTTTGTTGAGTGCTGGACAAAGACTCGATTACCGGATGTTGGATGTTAGAGAGGAACTCGAGACGGTGTCGGATCATTGATTGCAACATTATGCTGACGATTTACTTTCTCCTTTCTTTCATATTTTGTTCCTCCATTTCTTGTCGAAATCCGCCATCACCTTCCTCCTCCATCCTATTGTACACGCAGCTCGTCCACGCCCGTGCCCGCAGGAGGTTCCAGCGCGGTCTCAAGCGCCGCCCTATGGGTCTCATCAAGAAGCTGCGTAAATCCAAGAAGGAGGCTGGTCCCAACCAGAAGCCTGCAATGGTCAAGACTCACTTGCGAGACATGATCATTGTTCCCGAGATGATTGGCTCGGTTGTTGGTGTTTACGTGAGTTTTCCGTCCACCTCCTATAGATTAATTACTATTTCGCACCTTCCCCCTCACCTATCCTCCCTTCTCTCTAATCTCTCTTGAGATCTTCCCTCGCTTGTTCTCTCTCACATTACTTGTTCGGGACTACGTGACTGACTGTGGGTGTGCAGAACGGAAAGACCTTCACCACCGTCGAGATCAAGCCAGAGATGACCGGACACTACCTTGGAGAGTTTTCGTGAGTTTTCTCTTCCTCGGCATCCCAACTTGTCTTCATCTACTGACTCAATCAGCATCACCTACAAGCCAGTCGGTCACGGTCGAGGTGCCAACATGAAAGACAGCCGATTCGCTCCTCTCAAGTAAAGCTTGGATTGAAGGTGTTTTTTCAGCTTGTACGAGGGGATGAGATGCGACTTCTTTTCTCGTGATTTGTGGATACCTTGCTGCAGATGCGTGGAAACTCGTGGCCACATGATCACATTCAAGACACTCTGTGACGCATTGCTTATGTGCTCTTTGTGCAATCGTTTGGGTCCCCTCACTAATTACCGGCTGGTTGAATCGGCGAGTCATCTGTACTTGCAGCATCCCATTCATTCACAAGCCTTTCTTAGGACGACAACACTAGAAGTGCTACCATGACTTTCTATTTGTCGCTCGGATGCCCCACTTGGGATGCTAAGCGATGTTACTCAGTAGCAAGAGATAGGACGAACCAGCAAGCAGCCATGTACAAAAAAAAATATTCAATTTAAAATGGGCAAAAGAATATACACTGTAAGGGAGTCGAACCCTTGCCGCGTCGAATTTCCGGAAGAACCGAGAGTGGCAACGACGCATGATACCGTTTCACCAACAGTGTTGGTTATTATGTTTGGTATTTCCACATGCACAATATAATGTGAAAGTGGCTTTTGCTGTTTGGCTGGTTTCTGGATCTGCTCTGCTTATGGTCCGAAGTGACTATCGGAAATGCAAGTCAAAACGAGGCGATCTCTATGCTCCCTATGCTGATATTTGAGCCGGGTTTCTTCCGTTCTTGAGATCTGCTGCGCGTCAATTAACTCACGCGACCTTATCAAAGATATCCGAGAGACGCCTCGTGCCTGTCGGCAACGGCCTCCGCTTGGGGTCATGACTTCTAAAATTCGAAAATGATGAGATTGTTTTTTTCGAATCGTGATCGGGAGGGATTTTCGTCCTTCCGAGCTGTCCCGAGCACATTCTCGAGTGTTTGTCTCTCTTCCCAACATCCCACTCTCCAACGGTCTTATATCGTGCACGAGAAGGAACAGCCATGATCAGACCTGGGTGAGTGGAGAAGGTCCCATCAATCTCGGTCGGATAGCTCCGGCGTTGCCATCCAGGGAAGAACCAGCGGGAATGACGTTGCTGACTGCCAGCAAGCAAGTCTCGAATCGCGAGAGCAAGTGTGCGGTGGTCAAGTAGTAACCAGAAACGACAGCTCACCTCGCCAATCATCAAAGCGGAGGACAAAAATTTGATTCCTATACGGTGAGTTGTTGCTCTTAACACAAGGGGTAGGATCCCCACTAATCCACATTGGGACCTCAGCACAAACTTGAAAGGTGTGTTATTTTTTGTGACATTGTATACGGTAGCTGATAGAGGCAGGCTCGCAACTATTAAACACCCCACGAGTATGTTCCTTTGTCCGTTTCCGGAAGACCAGACTGACCTATTGCTCCTTTTCCCTATCTACAGCTGAACAAGGTGAGATGGTTCATCTCAGGGCGAAAGCAGAATACTGATAAGCCTCGCAGGGAGCTGGTTTCACTCGAGAAGAACGAGCCGTCTTCGGGATCGAGGGCTTCCTGCCTTACGATGTACACAGCTTGGAGAAGCAGGCGATGCGAGCATACAGTCAGCTCCTCAAGGTAGCAATGCTCCTCCAACGATAGGTACAACCAAAACTGACGAGAGCAGCAACCATCTGTCATCCTCAAGCATGCCTTCTTGGCTTCTCTGAGAGATCAAAATCAGGTGCTGTTCTACCGTTTGATGCAGGACCACCTCAAGGATCTGCTAGGTATCTTGTACACTCCAGGTGAGTAATGGTTTCTCTCTCACCGGCGTTAGTCTCACGACGCCAGGTGCTGCCGAGGCTGTTGCTCAGTACTCGTCTCTTTTCCGAAGGCCAATCGGATGCTTCATTGTGGGTCTCTTTATCCTGTCATCTACCAATCGAAAGCGCTGACATGAACAGTCTTTCCCCAACTCGGACGGCATGCGCGCACAGCTCGAGTCACATCTGAACGATATCAACAGAACCGCCGATGTCGCATATCATGAGCACGAGTCGACGGACGCCATTGATTTGGTTGTCGTAACAGATTCTGAGGCAATTTTGGGTATTGGAGGTTCGTGCCGTCCCTCCGCATGTCATTGTCGGTATATTGATCCGCGTGTGCAGACCAAGGTGTCGGAGGTATCACTATTTCAACTTCTAAGGCTGCACTCTACACCCTCGGAGCCGGTATCAACCCCAATCGTATTCTTCCCGTCGTACTCGACGTCGGCACAGACAACCACGCTTTGTTCTCTGATCCACTATATATGGGCTGGAAGCGTACCCGCCTGAGGGGCCGCAACTATGACGACTTCATTGAGCGTTTCATCCAAAACTGCCGAGATCTCTTCCCGAAGGCTATCATTCACTTTGAGGACTTTGGAATGGCGAATGCTCATCGATTAATGGAGAAGTACAAGGATATTCCAATGTTCAACGACGATATCCAGGGTACTGGAGCAGTGGCTTTATCGGCTCTTGTTGCGTAAGTCTCACCTTGCCATCTCATATTCGACCAGTGTCTCACGTTTACAGGGCTATTCGAGTCTCGGGTGGATCTTTGAAGGACCAACGAATCGTCATCTACGGCGCTGGGTCGGCAGGGATGGGTATTGCCGATCAGATTCGAGATGGTCTGATGATCCTGGAGGGCCTGACCAAAGAGGAGGCACAGAGTAGATTCTGGTGTGTGGACCGCAATGGTCTCCTTGTGGAGAGCATGGGAAACGCGTTGCGACATGCCCAGATGGGATATGCGCGCAGGGACGAGGAGGTTCGGGACTGGGAGCGGGCAAATCCAGAGCAGGATGCTGTAAGACTGATTGACAGTGAGTTGATTCGGCACTATACATCGGTACATGCACAAGCTGATCCGTTCATAGCCATCAAAGCTGTCAAACCTACGGTGTTGATTGGCACCAGCACACACACCCGCGCATTTGATGAGGAAATCGTAAAGGAGATGGTGAGTCGATCTTCGGGTTCCGAGGGACATTCTAGCTGACATTATCAGGCATCTCATGTGGAGCGACCGATTATTGTACGCATTGTCCCGTCACTGATACAACAAGCTGACTCTCGCAGTTCCCAATGTCCAATCCTACTGCTTTATGCGAGGTCGATCCTGGTGAGATTGGTCCGCTCCGTCATTCCATGGCCTTGCTGACACACCCACAGAGGACGCAATGGCCTGGACCGATGGTCGTGCCCTCGTCGCCACCGGCTCTCCCTTCAACCCCGTCACCCTCCCAAGCGGAAAGCAATGTATGTATTATCTATACTTCTGGCCTTCAGGCTGTAGACTAATATATCACCAGACACCGTAGCGCAGACTAACAACGCTCTCATCTACCCTGCCCTCGGTCTCGGCGCGATCCTCGCCCGATCCCGAACGATTTCCCCATCCATGCTCATGGCAGGTGTGCACGCGCTTGCCTCGCTCTCGCCCGCGCTCTCGAACCCGGAAGCATCGCTTCTGCCGGATCTTGCCGACGTGCGAGAAGTCAGTGTGACGGTGGCGGCAGCTGTTGTACGACAAGCCGTAAGTGACGGTAATGCCCAGGACGAAGCAACCATCAAAGTCGTGAACGGCGAGGGTGAATTGGGACTGGAAGACTACATTCGCAGTCGTATGTGGGATGCAGTGTAAGTCAACGCCATCTGTTAACAAGATTGGGTGCTAATAACATCCCCAGGTATCGCCCATTGGAACTTGTGGACTAAGAAAAAGGCTGAATCTCAGCGGGATTGTGGTGTTAGGTTACTACTTAGACAGCATTTAGATTTATCATATGTTATCATCATTATGACGTTATAGCTGTTTGCGAGCAAACAAGAGGGGTTTAGATGTCTAATGTAACAGCATACGCGGATGGCAGCGGCATGCAGCCGTCAGCTCGACCGATATTGTCACTTCGATTGACTATTGACTATCGAGCCGAACACAGTCAATGGCAGGCCGACGCATAGCTTGCATCAGTAGCAATGTACAACTTGTTCAGGCGGTACCAAAATCTCTCTCGCGTCGCTCCACGTCGTCCATCATTCCCATCCACTCTCGCTCGTGTACTATCCGTTCTGCGGCCGATGGCCCAGCCGATATACCATGCCAACCGTTGCCTGTTCCACTTAGAGCTGCAGTGTAGTCGAATTTGAGTGGTGCTCCACCTGTAAGGCTACTCGTAAGGAGAGCCAGCTCGTCGTCCAGGACTTTGCGTGCAAGGAGGTCTCCTTCGCGCAATAGGATCGAGAATTGTCTCTGCCCAGCAATCAGTACAGGCTACATCCCAAAACAAGGGAAATAGATCTACCTTTAGTTTAGCGTCAACCTTCAAAAACAATTCGACCACGGTTGGAGTCAACCGCTGCCCGCCGCCTACCAACGTGCGACCTGGCGGCAGCTCGCCAGCCACCATCGCCTGGAACGCATCCTGCTGAATCGAGCTCGCATTACCAGGGCTCAGTGAAATGGGGTCGATCCATGCTGCTCCCGCCAAGCCCATGATGGGACTCGCTGAGCGAGTATCATTCTCAGCGCTAGATGGGAACAAGGAAGCGCTCGTATGCGTTGATCCCGAGCTTGGGCTTTTTGGGTTGTGCGGTTGCAGGGGACTATCGAGTATTGCCGAATGAATAAAGGTAGATGGGTGGAACAGACTCAGCTGCTCGGAAGAGATTTGAAAAAGAGGTTGTTGTGGTGTTGGTGCTCCAGCAGGGGGTGGTGGGAAAGGCGATGGTAGGACCATGCCTAGCAGCTTTTTGTACACGTCTCGGATGATTGAGCAAGTAGATGAGTGGACCTGGAAAAAGTCCGGCTGAAAGGGCTGAACGTCCCCGTCAGCAAGGTCTGTGAATACGATGTGATATCGATTGATAGGCGGATCAAGACGTACGATATTGACGTTTAGGAGAAACGATTCGCCATCGGTCATGCTGGACATCTCTGACACGCCTCCTGCTGGCTTCTTGCCGCCTCGTTGGCCTCGGAAAAGGTTTTTCTAGGAGGCAGATCAGCGAGATACCCCGGCTGGAGTTCGACAAACTCACAACGCCTTTGCCTCCTCCCATTTCCACTAGATGCTCCCACTCTTCGAGGACTTTCAGAAGCGCCTTGAGGTATTCTGCGACTTGCATTATGTCAAAAAGTGTCGCCAGACTTGCTCCGAGCAAAAAGTAATTCCTCGAGCGAGAGTCCACTTTGCTTGGCCCGAGAGCTGCTTCGATTGTGGACCGTGAGATCTTGACGGTATTGAACCAATGCACCTCGCTTCCACAGAGCTCAGCAATGATGAACGCAACGAGGGAAGGAAGATGGGGAAGCATACCCTTGATACCACTGCATCATGTAGCTCCAAGAAAAAAGGCGATCCTTGACAACCCTAAAGACATCCTCTGGCCGTCTTATAGCCTGACTGGCTCCAGGTCCATCGATAGCGCTCCGCTTTCCTTTCTCATCTCGGTCCTTGCTTGAGCCCGAAACTGTGCTTGCGCTCACAGAGCGAGCTGAATGAAGGGGAAGGTTGTAGGTTGACGATCCAGCCCGAAAAGAGGAC